CTAACAGCTGTGTTTGTGGTAACTATTAGATACCCCAGCTTGGTTAATACGTAAAGTCTAACAGCTGTGTTTGTGGTAACTATTAGATACCCCAGCTTGGTTAATACGTAAAGTCTAACAGCTGTGTTTGTGGTAACTATTAGATACCCCAGCTTGGTTAATACGTAAAGTCTAACAGCTGTGTTTGTGATAACTATTAGATACCCGAACTTGGCAATATGTCAATGGCTGCGGAAAAAAAAGCCGATTTCAATTTAAATTGTTTTTTTTTTTTTAAAGACTAGATAGGGTAAAGATTTAAATTCATTCTACAAGCTGTCCACAACCTATACCAAAACGCAAATCAATTTTAGTTTAACATTTTTATGTTACAAAAAATAAATTGAACAATAATACTCAGCGAACACAGAAAATTTTTTAAAGGATCATATTATTGAAAAAAACATTGCTAACTGCGTATAAGCCCAATTCAATTAAAGAGAATAATACCAACAATGGCTTTAAGGAATTCGTGTATTTGTGTCTACAGTCTGTCAAGACTAAAATCTGTAGTTGAAATAACAATTGTTCAAACGATCAATCTCAGTGACAAAAGAGATATTCAAGAATATTTGATTAGAACCCATTTAACTGTTCACCTGTGAGCGATAAATCCTGATGTGTTTTTTTATTTAGAAAATTGTCCTAGACAAACATGTTGTTGAACTGGTAAACGTCTTTTGTTATCCATATACAAATCAAATACACCGGAGTACCGAGAGCTGAATACTAGCATCATAAAAAGTCAAATTTAATTTAAATGGAATAATACCAAGAAGAATCGAATATATTGATGAATACTCGAAGACCTCTCTGTCGAGGTAGAATAAAATTCAACACAGGAGATCTTTTAACGGAAGAGACGTTTGTTGGCTGAGTTTACCTTCATGATCTTTGTCTTGCTTTTATTTATTCTGAGTCAGTGATGTGCTGAATATGGTGGCTACATCTTTTGTCTTTGCCTGCATTTGTTGTTTGCGGAAAAGAAGGTCAATGTCATCTGCAAAGCCAGGATCATTTAAACGCTCTACACTCCAATATCCATCAGCAGGCACTTTGCAACAAATGCCTGACGTTTGAAAATGCTATATCTGACGTTATGAAATGCATTAACCATATCAGATCTAGGGGCTTGAAGCAATGGCAGTTCCACGCCTTTTTTGAGGAAATAGAGTCAGCAAATGAGAACGTTATCTACTTCGCCGAGGTACGTTGGCATAGAAGGGGGGAAACGTCTTGAAAAAGTTATTTTCGTTGAGAGCAGTATTTAAAGCTTTCGTGGAGAAAGATGGGGTGGTTGTTCCTATGTTAAGTGATCCCAAATGGCCCATGGACTTGGCTTTTCCTGTTGAAAACTATAATACCCTGTCTCTATTTTTTCATTCTGCATTAGATAGACCTAATGCAAATTAATGTCTGGGTACAATGCCATAGAGAAGTGTGATACCGATTTCGGGTTTTTGAGACCAGATTCCAACCAACGTCCCTTGCTTTGTTATGAAAAATGATACAAAATATGGGTTAACCTGAAGAAGGATGCCTTAAAATATCGAACGTGTTGGCAAGTAGCCTTCTTCAGCGAAAAAAACACACTAATTTTATGCAAACCAGAATCTTGACATTTAGAATAGAATTAAAAAATTAGAGCTTCAGCTTAATATAAAAATACCACCCCCCAAAAAAAACAACAAACAACAACAACAAAACAAACAAACAAACGGAAATAAAACACAACTATATTTCATATTTAGAGCAATATACAATTTAAAAAAAAAACAAACAGCTCTAATTTAGACCAATACACAAAAAAAAAAAACAACAACTCATATTTAGACTTTAGACCAATACAATACTTTAATTGTGATGACATGACACAAAATAATGTGACCCTAATGAAATGTCCAATAATATTATACTCACAGACTATTTCAGCTGACCTGGAGAGTGGGGCGGTTAAGTCAGTTGGTCATAAGAGCCAACGATGTGATAGTTGACCACCCATCAACGATGGCATAATTGACCATCCATCAACAATATGATAGTGGACCATCCATCAACATTGTGATAGTTGACCATCCATCAACTATGTGATAATTTGAAATCCATCAACAATGTGATAATTTGCCATCCATCAACAATGTGATAGTTGACCATCCATCAACATTGTGATAGTTGACCATCCATCAACTATGTGATAACTGACCATCCATCAACAATATGATAGTGGAACACCGATCAATGATGTGATAGTTGACCATCCATCAACGATGTGGTAGTTGACCATCCATCAACTTACACCAGTTGGTCATCACTCATTTATTAGCTGGGGGTTTGAAATAAATTTTCTTTAAAACTTTAAAATTTAAAACAGTATTAAAATAGAAGAAAAAAAAATATGATGAAAAAACCCAGGTCACACAAACAAGATGTAATAATAGATTGTTAAAATTGTATGCACATAAAATTCAGCATTTAGCTTCAGTAATTTAAGGGTGGCGTGAGCTTGTTTTTGAGTATAGAATATATAAAATATAACATGTCATTTTTTACATGTAATATCAGTCCACCAATTCTTTTGCCATCAATGAGAATATTAAAGAAGAAAGAAAATGTCAATTTTTTTTTAAAAAAAGGACATCTAATATAAGCAGATATGAAAGAAAATGACCAGCCAAACAGAATTCACGTGATTCTTGAATGAGGAAGTCCTTGGGACCAGCAATGTCACATTTATAACATTTCAATATCTCAAATGATGAAGTCCTTGGGACCAGCAATGTCACATTTATAACATTTCAATATCTCAAATGACGAAGTCTTTGGGACAGCAATGTCACATTTATAACATTTCAATATCTCAAATGACAACATTCCCATTCAAATTTAATGATGCTTTCAAAACATTTCCAGGCACTGAGGTTGAAATTATGCGATGGTGATGGTTTAGGTGGCAAAATAATTTTTTTTTGTTTCTTTAAAACCCTTTCGTCCAACAAATTAATCAGCAAAATAAAAAGGAAAATGTAAAAATCTCAGAATCTATTCAAAGTAGTAGATGGCAGGGATTGTAAACTGCCATGGAGAAGGATGTAGTTGAGGGAAAGGGTTTGAGTTATGATAATTGTGAACTATGCACACCGCTTTAATCAAAGCTTAAATGACATACTAACTAACGCACATATTCTGGTGAGGGTCTGAGATTACTCTCTTATGACCCCGGCTAGTAAATTGGCTATCAACTCCATCTGTTGAGCTGAGCCATACAACATTTCCCTCACAAGGGATCCTCCAACCGCCCTGGCTTCCCCCGGGAGACATACTAAAAGTTTCATTTTATATTTCACTTGTCTATGTTTAGAGGATTTCCCCTTCTTTGTTTTGTTGTATTGTTTTTGTGGCAGAGGTTATTCTTTCTTTAAAACAAAGGTCTAAAAAATATATTTTAAAAGGTATAAATGTTTTTAAAAATCATGTCTATTTTATCAATAATATTTTAATTATTAATTTTAATTATTCTTTTATACATCAAGTCTGAAATAAAATATTTAATTTAAAAAAATGTTAAATTTAAAAAAAAAAAAAATCACACATCATTATTTTATTATTTCTTTAAAACAAAGGTTTAAAAAATATATTTTAAAAGGTTTAAATTTTTTTAAAAATCATTTCTATTTTATCAATAATATTTTAATTATTAATTTTAATTATTCTTTTATACATCAAGTCTGAAAAAAAATATTTAATTTAAAAAAATGTTAAATTTAAAAAAAAAAAAAAATCACACATCATTATCACAGCTCTTGATATAATGTCACATTTCCAATCATGCAATCAAACATGAAATGAAAACAACAATAACTTTTCAACTGTTACATTTAAATGTTTACAAGTAAATAAAATAGACTCTATTATGTAATGTCACATTTCAATCATGCGATCAAACATGAACAAGCTATTTAACTGTTAAACTGAAATGTTT